TTATAGTCACTTTCGTTTGGACAACACTCTTTCACGAATAGAGACCTCCTCGATGAAATTATTTATATAACTATTAAGAGAGAAAAAAACCACTATTACGAGAAATAACAATTATGTAGTAGGCATTAGTTAAGTTTGAATCATTTTACATTTATCCTCATTTACGTCCATTTATAATTATCTTACTTTTAATATAAATCATTTTATACTCACTCTTTAAAAACAAATATATCATTTATTTTTTTTTTCTATGTATTACTCAAAATTTATTTGACATATATCGTTTAATTTTTTCGACAAACAACAATTCAAATGACAAATCCGTGCGTTGCACGGGTCCTTTACCTAATATATACTAAAAATCTAGAGTATTAATTAAATATTTCATTATTTTTATTATATTCTTTTTTGTCTAAAACTCAAATTCAATCCGAATTCGAACTGAAGTGAAATGTAATTTGATTTTGAGTGAGAAAAAACTCGAATCGTACCAAATCGAAGAACCGCGTGGGTTGTGAATTTTTGTCTGGATCATCCGATTTTGTTGGATTTTTTCATGAATTAAAAGCATTTTTGTTTTATTTTTACTCCAAACTTTATTTTTAGAGTAAAAAGAATCTCAACTATGTTTTGTTATGCTATCCCTTATGAGAGTGATTTTTCCAAAAAAGTTTAGGTGTCTTCATCAGAATCACTCTCCCAATTTGAATGTGACATGACATCCTTTAAAATATTACATGACATTCTCTCTAATTTAGCTCATTAATCTTTAATTAAAATTAGCTCAAACTCAATAATTAAAATTAGCTCAAACTCTAAAGGAGGCTGAGAATGATGGCTTCATTGATGAAGTTATGAAGTGATTATCAAAAATTAATCTCACGGAATATAAGATTATTTTTACATATTTTCTTTTGATTATTTGATTAGAGATTTTAGTTATTGTTACTTTAAAAATAATTTTCTAAGTTTATAACAACAAATATAATTATTCTTTTGAAATGTTTTTTTAACGCAAGACAATTTGAACTAATAAAAACAAATTTTAATTCGAAAGCAGC